CTTTTATTTCATACATAATAATTTTACACCAGTCACAAGGACCTGTCCCACCAATCACAAATTTACATATATTATTTTTTTTTTTAATATTTCGATGAAGATTATATCAGCCTAACTTCAATTGAAACGAAAGCTTATAGTTTAGACATCGATACCACGTACCTTAAGTTTAAAAGTGTTGTTTCTAAATTTTTTAGTAAACTCTTTGTGTATACAAAATGCCACCTACCAAACAAAAAAGCTAAAGGCCGTTTTCTCAAGTAGGTTTGAAAATAAATCTGAACATTGAATTTTTTCTGAAAAATATACAGTGACGAACAAAAGTATTGGCACAGTGAATTTTTCGCCATATATGCAAAGGTTTTTATTCTAATTTATTTTAGATATNACAGCTCAGCGGATTTGTTATTTTTTTTTTTAATAGGCATCATACATTTATTTATTTATTTTTTTTTTACGAATTTATAGCAATTCCACGAAAATATGCATTAGTTGTGTTCGTTTGGGAAAAGCCAGGAAAAATTTGGAAGCAACAAAATTCAGAGAATAAGGTATCTTATTCTCCCAAAGAGAGAAACTTACAAAGTTTAACGCGAACAGGAATTCGCAAGCTTCGCTGGCATTTCGAAGTTCGAAATTCGAACATAATAATTTTTTTTTTTAATAGGCATCATACATTTATTTATTTATTTTTTTTTTACGAATTTATAGCAATTCCACGAAAATATGCATTAGTTGTGTTCGTTTGGGAAAAGCCAGGAAAAATTTGGAAGCAACAAAATTCAGAGAATAAGGTATCTTATTCTCCCAAAGAGAGAAACTTACAAAGTTTAACGCGAACAGGAATTCGCAAGCTTCGCTGGCATTTCGAAGTTCGAAATTCGAACATAATAATTTTTTTTTTTAATTATTTCAAGTGGAAAACAAAACAGGACTTGTACGTGTATTTTGTCTTAATCTGACTTTCTTCGAACATACGCTTCAATTTCTTTGTGGTAATCACTATCGGATCAGCTATTGCTGGCTTATGCCGATGCCATCGACAGCATCGGTAACAAAAACCGCGAAGTCTGTTCTGCCTTTTCCAAGTTGGATAACGAAGAAAAGCGAATGGGTCTGGCGGTCAACAATGACAAGACGAAGTACCTCCTGTCATCTAACAAACAGTCAGCACATTCGCGACGTGGCACCCACGTCACTGTTGACAGTTATAATTTCGAGAAAGTAGAGAATTTCGTTTACTTGAGAACCAGCATTAACACCGATAATAATGTCAGCACGGAAATCCAATGCAGAATCACTCTTGCCAACAAGTGCTACTTTGAACTTATCATGCCTGTGCTGGTGTATGGCGCGGAGGCATGGACAATGAAAACATCTGATGAAGCGGCTCTTGGGAGTTTTCGACAGAAAGATTCTGCGAAACATTTACGGGCCTTTATGCGTTGGCGATGGCGAGTGCCGCAGACGATGAGCTGTATGAGCTTTACAACAATATAGACTTAGTGAAGCGAATTAAAATACAGCGGCTGCGCTGGCTTGGCGATGTCCTTCGAATGGACAGAAACGCTCATGCTCTGACAGTATTTAACGCTGGTCGCGATGTTGGAAACAGAGGAAGAGGATGACCGCCTCTGCGTTGGAAAGACAAGGTGGAGAAGGACTTGGATTCACTAGGCATTTCCAATTGGCGTCAGTTGACACAGAAGAGAAATGACTGGTGTGCTGTTTTGGACTCGGCCAAAACCGCTTAGGTGGTTAGAGCGTCAATAAAGAGGACGACTGTTGGTAGAGTGGATTTCACGGTTGACATTATTATTGGTTCCCAAATAAACGAAGTCGTCTAGTCTTTCAAACTGCCAACAGTGATGCGGGTGCCAAGACGCGTATGCTCTGCTGTTTGTTTGATAACAGGATATAAGTACTTCGCTTTGCCCTCGTCCACCACCAGATCCATTCGCTTTGCTTTTCTATCTAATCCTAAGAAGGCAGAAAAGACGCAGCCATTATATTTACCGATAATGTCGATGTCGTCGGCATATGCCAGCATTGTACGCTCTTGTAAAGTGTTATGCCTGAGCGGTTCAGTTCTGCGGCTCTTATTTATCTTATCCAATATCAGATTAAAGAAATCACATGACAGAGAGTCTCTGAAACCTTTTTTGGTATCAAGCGGCTAGCGGATATGGTGGTATTGCTCAACGTATTGCCGTGTTAGTTTCGCAGGGATACTAAATTCAGTCATCGCGGCATAAAGCAAACTTCTTTTCGTACTGTCTAAAGCGGCTTTGAAATCGACAGATGGACATTCCTCATCGAACCAGTTGTTCTTTCGCTGAAATCCGACTACTTCTTCGGCGGCGGTACCTAATGAGCGGGAAATGTGGTTCCACTGCTCACATATGTCGGTTTGTTGAAGAGTGCTCTCAGAAAGCAGGTGTGACAGTCGAGTGGCAAATAAATTGGCTGTATGTTTTGATTGCAGTATTTCGACGTTAAGCTTTCCTTATTGGGCGCACATTTTTTGCTGCAAAGAGGCAGGTGCGTATCTGGGCTGCAACAAGATAGTGGTTCGAGTACGTCTAAAATACTGGAAGCATGCCTTCCGTCTATCACAACATGATCGATTTAGTTTATCGTTTTTCGTTCTGGAGACAGCCATGCGGCTTGATGGATATTTTTATTCCCGAGCCTAGTACTACATATTACCAGGTTTCGGGCCCCGGCGAAGTCGATCAGTCCTAGTCCGTTATCGGACTTTTTGTCGCGGATCCCGAATTTTCTGACAGTGGCCCTAAAGATCCCTTCCTTGCCTAAAGATCCCATCCTTGGCATTGAAATTTCCAAGCACGATTTTTATATCGTGTCAGGGGCAGCGCTCATATGTACACTCCTGACGCTCATAGAAGAGATCCTTGGACTCCTCATGCTTCTCTTGCGTCGGAGCGTGGGCACAGTGAAGAATCTAGCATTGATGGAGATTGTGGCTAGCCAGTAATCGGCGACGGAGTCTCTTTCCTACCACAAATCCAACAACGAATTAGCGCTCTTTTACATGGCAACTGTAGTAGATATCGCAAGGCTCCACGCTTGCCTTGACCCGTCCATCGCATTTCTTTGATGGGGGTGATGTCAAGCTTAGTCTTCCCGAGGACATCAACCAGCCGGGCAGTGGTACCTTCCGGAAATCATAGTCCTTTATACGTTTGCTGTGGTCGTCATCAAAAAAGAGGGTTAACAGTTATATGAAGTACAAAATAGGAAGCAGACTCGGCATGCGTTTTTTTTTTATTCACATCGAAACTAACCAATTTTTATTCCCTGAATAAACTATCGTTTTTCTCGAAAAAATTAAGTAATTATGAACATATTTCTCCAACTTTAATTAAAAAAAAAAAGTACAAATTTTCGAATTTGTAATGCATACTTATAATTTTTAAGGCAACCCAATATTTGCGAATACGTCTTTTAACTTGGTTACATTTGCTTGACAATTTCTGAAAATTCATTTTAACAAGTACATATTTAAACTATTTACTACGTTAATTAACGTTTTGCATTCCCCGTTCTATATTCTATATTTCCAGACGAAGCAGTTTCCTTTCATGTGGTGGTCTCTTTATCATAGGAGCTGTACTCCTCTACACCTGCCGCATGTTGCACTCTGTGGAGGCTCTTATCCTTGCCCGTTTTCTGGTTGGTTTGGCAGCAGGTTTAGTCGTTGCTTGCCTACCCATGTATCTTGCCGAAGTGGCGCCACTTTCCATGCGAGGTGTATTGGGCGTCTTTTGTCCAATGGGACTAACAGCTGGTGTTGTAGTAGCACAAATTTTAAGTTTACGTAGCGTTTTCGGCAACGCTGAACAATGGCATTTGGCAATGAGCCTCTATGTTGTACTGGTCTTGATTTGCTATGCACCAATGGCTTACTATCCCGAGAGTCCGAAATGGTTATACGTTATTAAAGGAGATGAGAAAGGCGCGCGGAGGCAATTGAAAGCATTACGCGGAGATGTTAGCGAAGCTTCTATAAATAGGGAAATGGCTGAAATGGAAGTCGAAGCGAATGTAAAAGACCAAGTTAGCGGATATGGCCCTGTGCTGGCTGACCCTAAGCTACGACTGCCATTGATCATCGTTTGTGCCTACCAGGGTGGACAGCAGTTGTCGGGTATTAACGCAGTAAGTATGCTAATAGAAGTTTTACACTAGGAAAACAGATTTAGTTGAGTGCGAGTAGGCTGGTAGGTTTTGAGTTATCTGTGTCCTGGGGATCGGTTATCTACCAAACCTGGAGGCAGTCGCAAAAAGAGGGCACAATAAGTTGTTCTAGCTTGTCTAGAAAACTGATATCTTTTTCTAAGTTGCGCCTGGTTTAAGTAATTAGATAATGGGCGATATGTATGGCTCTGTGTTTGAAGGATCGTTAAAAACGGTTATCTCCTCGACCTTACTCTAGAATTTGTTGCAGTGAAACTGCCAGAGTTTCATATTCCTAGGAAAGCTGGTCGAGGATGAGGGAGTGGAGTTTCCTACTTGGTCCGATGTTTGCGTCCGTAAAGTTTCGTAGCAGAGTGGAAAGTGCCATAAAGCCAACGCAGGAGTTGCATTTGGCTGAAGTCACTTTTGATATATTCTGCTCTGCAACACCGAGCAGAGTGCATACTTACTCCGGCGTGTTTTGCGATTTGAAGGCCGAAGGTGCCATATGGCGTAAAGAACAAGGGATCAGATACCTTGCGATCCACTCGCTATGTAACCTAAGCTCAGACTAGAAGCTTAAACTGATACGTCCGTTGCAAGAGTCGAAGTAGAGGCCGGATGGAGCCATCTCCGGCGTATGCAGCGGAAATATGGATTGGACTCAATGGCAGCCCAAAGCGAAACGATTCGGAACAACTCTGCTGAAAAGACTTTCTCCAGGGACGAACAATGATTTTTAGGGTTTGCCGCTCTAAAAAGCGTTAAACCAGCTAATGTGCATTTCTCGTTCTTAGAAGAAAAAAACATTTTTGTCACTTTTGCGCTTTATATTGTTCTCTTTTTTTGCAGATTTTCTACTATTCAGTATCGATTTTCCTCCGAGCTGGCCTAACCGCATCTGCTGCTGAGTTGACCAATTTGGGCGCCGGTTCTCTCAACTTGGTTGTGTCTTTAATGGGCCCATATCTAATGGGTCGCTTCAATCGTCGTCCACTCATGCTCTTCTCAACATTCTGTTGTTGTATTGCGCTAATGGCATTTTCACTTTTTCTGTACTTTATCGTAAGTATTAGTAATACGGTATTAAAAAGTATTAGGAAAATATGTATGAACAATATTCTCCTATGTTTTATCATTGCAGGACTACGTGCCTTGGTTTGCCAATGGCTGCATTATTTGCATCTTTCTTTACATTTTCTTTTTCCAGTTTGGTTTGGCTCCCATACCATTTTTTATTGGATCCGGTAAATAGAAGCAAGAGAATTAGCATTTCTATAAACGCACTATAACTTTTGCTCCATTTATAGAACTATTTGAAGTGGCACCTCGACCAGTGGCCATGTCACTTGGTAGCGTTTCTTCTTGGGTGTGTAATTTCTCTGTGGGTATGCTCTTTCCCATTCTACAGGATGCATGGGGTTCACTCGTATTCATACCGTTTTCTGTTGTCTGTGCGGCGCTGTTCATCCTAACTAAACGCTATCTACCGGAAACAAAAGGACGTGACCCCTCACAAGTGGTGCAATTAGTGGCGAAGGGTTTCAAATCGAATATACGCGAAACCTAGTAGTTTAAGTGAACTTCTTACTTAAGTTATAAGCTTATAATATAGGCCTTATATGATTAAATTATTTACATTGTGTATATTCTTTACTTCAACTCACCCAAGGATGTTCGATTTCGCCCATGTGCGTAACCAATTGCTTCATTGTTGCGGTTTTTAAAGCCGTGCCAATCATTACCGACTTTCGACATGCTCGCGATGCAAACATATCACGAATACGCGATGGCCTACATACAGTTCCTGCGGGAGCATCCTGCAACATGAAAATCAATTCGTCAATATCTTCTTTACCAAATTGCCACTGTTGACTAGATGGTTTACAGAGCAACTTCACTTTCTTTGTCGGAGGTGCTAAAATAAAAAAAAAATGTATTCCAATGAAACTAACACTTTTACGGAAATACTAAAGAGCAATATACCATCTTACCATTTTCATTGATTTCAAATTTAAACCCGTTTTTCTGAAACACTGGAAGGTTGTCGAGCAACAACATCTCATTCGCCACTGTCAATTCGAGTGGCTGTGGCACAGCCAGAGGTTGTGACTGCAAAACTGTTGTACGTTGCAACATCTCAAAGTTATACTTTTCATCGGTGGCGTGTTGGTCAATGATAAAAAGATCTGTATCCAGTTTGACGATAATGAAACCCAAATTGAACTGTCCGATAATTTCCATTTTAGCGAAAGTATCCTTGGTTATTTCGCGTTGCAATTCCTCCTCTGCCTTTTGATTTTGGCTTGGATTGATCTCACTTTGGAAACGTAAGCGCTCCAATCTGGCTTTCTTAGACTCCCGGTCTCTAGCTTTTAGTTTCTCCTCTGCTTTAATATTTTGCGAAATTTCCTCGAGTGTGATGCGCATAATTCCACAGGAGTAGTAATTTGCAGTAGATTCCGCATCAACTATACTTTCATCTAATATTACAGTTGTATTCGCAGATGAGTGAGGGGCAAACATAGAATCGTCATCTGCGCGGTCACCATTGCTGTCATTATTGTTTGAGTTTGCATCTACAAAATCGGAAGTTGTTCTTTTTTCTACGAAATGCAGTGTTGGCTCTGGTTTTATTCGTATAACCTTGCAATCAATGCGTTTCACAGTTTTGTCAGTCAACGAGTCGAATTCTGCAAAAGTTAAGGTGTTCATTAGGACAGATGCGAGTCTCATTCAAAAAGCTAATTTTTTTGTACTTACCTTTAGATTCCTTGCCTATTCGTTCTAAATCGAGTATGCTGTTGTCAAGCGACTTCTGCTCATTTAAAGTGTCCTTGGCTACTTCGTCGCTTTCATCTTCTTCACTGTCGGATTTCGCACTGAACTCTTTCGGCATAGCATTTTGACGTAAATTTTCTCTATTTAAGTATTCGTGTATCTTCTTTAATTTCAGTGTGCGCACCTCGATTTCATCTGTGCATTTTCGTTTGGTAGTGACACGGGACGCTACGCCCACTGTATCGCCAGTTGTTTTCCACTGTGATAAAACGTCCATGAACCTTTGCGAACTACTCTTTGGCACACTTTCTGACGATTCTTCGGTTGACTCGTTCAACCCGTTTGTAACATTTCCGTTCTCCTTTTTGAACATGCTGACTATGGTTGAATTCTGAAGTTTATATGTAGATGGTATGTTGCCGTATGTATTGATGAGAGATTTCTTAATGGCTAATAACAGGATTTTTTCATTGTTTAACAAAACCTGTCGTTTATCGGGAGTTAAGTTAACATCCACATCAGAACGTGCTGTTATAATATTAAGAAATACAAAAGGATACTGTTGACCATTGTAGCGATGATAGGTATCATTAACTACTTTTGCAATCTAAAAGAAATTAAACCATTTTATTGTTTGGCTATTAGCTAGTGGGTAAGCTCATCACTTACGTTTTTTGGTTCACAGGGTCGCGAATTTATATAAAAGTATTGGCGATCTTTCGATGACCGTCCCGCACCATGACTACAGCTGGACACAAAACCTTCCAATTGAAATGGTGCTGCTTTCAGTTGGGCTATATCTTCTGCGGTAATTTGCATGCTATCAGCAGCTCCAGGTTCCAACTGCAGTTCGGCGCGTAAAATCTCCTCAGTCAGCTCCTGTCCATTGCTATAGATGGACTTCAAAGGCAGAAGATCTGTTGTTAGCCGATTACCAAAAACGGCCGCTATGTTGGCTAGATATTCCTGGGATCCGTTCGTCTGCATAACTACCAACTTATTTCCTTTGGCAGTTTGATTTGTACAAATTATGCGCACACCTCGCGTAACTAGACAGTATGCTTGTAAAATTTGGCACATTTTGTTGAACTCTTTTCGTATGTTACGCACAAAATCACGGCGTCGTACAGGCAATGTGACAAATAGATTGGTGAGTGTGACGGTGGTGCCTGCACTTCGTGCGCAGGGTGTTCGCTTTTTAATTTTTCCTTCATGATCCAATTCCATATGTGTGCCTAAAAGATATGTATGTGGAAACATAAGTGCATATTTTAAAATACCTTATTTTATATTTTGAAATCATACCAACATCTTGAGAACCATGCCTCGTTACTACCACTAAGTCAGAGAGTGCACAAAGCGAGCTAAGAGCTTCCCCGCGGAATCCAAACGTTTCGACACTTCGTAAATCGATAAAATCTCGAATTTTAGAAGTGTGGTATTTAGCAGCTGCAAGTAATCGTAAATGAATATTTGAATGTCCGCTTGAGATATACAATTTTTAATACTCATTGCTTCTAGGTCACGTTCAAGTACTCCACAGCCGTTATCACTCACTTCCACAAATTCCAAGCCGTGATCGCGCAGTTTTACTTCAACAAGCGTTGCGCCAGCGTCAATTGAATTTTCCACAAGCTCTTTAACAGCCACTGCCAATGTGAGGACGACCTAGCAGGAAGTTAAATGGCATTTTTAGTATTAGGTTTAATGTTATTTCATTGAAATATTACCTGACCTGAACATATCCTGTGTACGGTGTCCTTTCCAATGGCTTTTATTTTGCCCGACTCTGCCGTGGTGGCCTCTGGCATTTGTTCCTCCTCCGCTAGTTGTTTCTCAGCTTCCATTTTTTAATTCAATTTACTCTTAAAATAAGCATGCAAAATAATTAAATACCAAAGCCGCGTAAAACGTCGATTTTTGTCAATTTTCTTCAAACGGAAGCGCCAAAACAAATTTCACATTTAATAAAGAGGGGAAGTTTATCAGCTGACTGCAGTGATGCCAACCCGATGGACATACCGCTTTAACGGGAAATTGGTCACGCCATCTTGACGGAAAATTAGGCTGGAAACGTACGGAAGCTTGAGGTTTCATGAACAGACATAAAGGCTGCATTTCTTTATTCATTCTGAACGTTTGGAATAAACTTTTTTGTTTATTTATTCTTTAGAACGTTCCTGATGATATGTTGACGTATATTTCAAACGCATTCTGTTTATTCCGGCTGTGAAATGGGATTATCCGGAATGTATAAAGAAACGTATATTTCAAACGCATTCTGTTTATTGTGTGAAATACCGCCGAGAGGTTAGTTCAATTTACAAACTTTAACAACAAATAACTTAAAAACTATAAGCCTCCTGCGGCTAAAAGTATATATATTTGAAATCAGGAGAGCTCCCCCATGGCCACCTTTTTTTTGTACGCGGGGGATGCCAAACTAAAATTTTCCCATTCCGGCTGTGAAATTGGATTATCCGGAATGTATAAAGAAACGCAGCCAAAGTTAGTGCGTTCCAGAAAGTTTACGATTTGCAGGTTTTGCAGGATTTAGGCCAAAGTCGTTCTGCTACGCCACGTTCACATAAGGTTTATTACAGGCGAAAACAGCTGTTCCTATAAAACCTGCAAATCCTACAAATCGTTAAGTACGGGAACAGGTTAAGTGAGGCAGATTTAGACCTCTTTCAGAAACGTCAAGTCTTGCTTTCAAGTCTGCTCGGTTCGTTGGCGAAGGAGGTGAGAAGAGAAGGGACAGTCGGGTCTACGTAACCGGAACGACCCAGATATATTTGGCCAAGGACTGTCACTCCAGCAGCACTCCCTAAAAACTCTTTTGGGGAATTTGTATCCTTCGATTTCATCTGTCCTTTTCCTCCATATTTTTTATCTGTAAAATAGATAGCAATATAATATGCAGTAATAATAGCAATAAAAATTCCTATTTACCCTATTTTTGTCATTAAATGCAAAGGCAAGCGCACAAGAAAAGATAAATGTAGACAGCTGATTTCCAAAGCGGGCAATCTGGACCCGTCAACCTACCGACAGGCCCTGAACGGCATTCACAGGGACTCAGTCTCAAGTTATGTAGACTTCCCGCCCTGTGAATGCCGTCCTAGGCACACAACCACCGGGCGTGGACGGGACAGAACTTTGCCTCGGGAGACCCGCACTACAATAGCCCAACTTCGCTCTGGCTATTGCAGCAGGCTAAATTCGTACCTAAGTAGAATCAACGAGGATGTGCCCAATCAATGCCCGGCATGTGGAGAGTCGCCACATGACTCCCGGCACCTCTTCACATGCCCTGAGAACTCCACTCAGCTGACGCCCCTGTCCCTATGGACAGCCCCTGTGGAAGTCGCACACTTCGTGGGCCTCCCCCTGGCTGAGATTGACGACAACGCTGATGGATGCACCGACCCGAACGGGGCTTAGTAGCCGCTACAACAACAACAACGACGCAGCTAACAGGATTATGGGTAAACATGCTTATCTATGCACACTTCTTTAGCTCCCTTAAGTTGAGTTTGACGACAACCCGCGTAACTCTAACTAACTTTCGCACTTAAAACCCCCTTCCCTCAGGCCCGACCACATCGCTGTGCTTCTTGCTTTTGAGTTTTCTAACTGGTGGTTGTGGTTGGCAGTGTCGCGGGCGACGCTTGCGGTTGCAGAGCTTTGCACTCGGACTTAAGGTGGCTCCATTCGTCGCATGGATTGCACCTAATCCAAGTGGAGTGGATGGAGTCTTTTGTGGCATTCACAGCAGAAATAGGTTTTCGGTCAGTTGTTCGACCCGATAACAGCCTAAATCAGAAGTGAAGAATAAGGAACAACTATTGGAAGGTTTCTCCTTAAATCGGTTAGAACGCCGAACCAATGGAAATGTGTAATCGGCCCATGTAAGAGTAGATATAGAATCGGCTGTCCTGGGAAATTCGACATGTTGTTGTTGTTGTTGTAGCGGCTACAACAACCCCGTCCAGATCGGTTGATATCTCAGTCGTTGTCGTCGAGTTCCACTTACGGCAGCCAGAAGAAGCGTGCAGCCTCTATGGGGTCGGTCCACAGGGACGACGCCGTTAGGGTTGTGGGGTTTTCCGGGCATGCGAAGAGATGTTTCGAGTCGTGAATTTTGGCTCTGTCGTCGTGCTTCGTCGGATTGGACAGTGATCTCACGGTTGAACAAAGCTTACTCACACCAGTGGTGAAGTTACAGGTCTTCAGATGCTCTTCCCACTTCTTCCGCTTATGTACGTTTACTAGTTGCCGAATCTCCGCGTTGAGATCCCTGATACGGGGATCTCCGGGATCGGCCTGACGAAGGCTATCACGCTCAGCGGCTAGAACAGCCGCATCAGCAGGGAAATTTGGACGTGGGTCCGTGATACATCCTGCCGGTACGAAGCGAGCTGCAGCAGCAGCGACAGCCCTGCGGAACTTATGTTCACCAAGGTGGACGTCGGTTGGTGTGGGGAGAGCAGCGAAGGTGTTTTCAGTAAATTCCGCGAAGCCTTTCCAATCAGCTTTAGAAAAGTTGATATATGTATGTTCGGTGCTCCGCGGAAGCAAAGTCGGTTGGTTTATCGATCGAGATGACTATGGGCAGATGGTCTGATGCCAAAGTCAGCACAGGTCGCCATGATATGCTGTTTATCAGACCAGCGCTGACTATTATNCCGAACGGGGCTTAGTAGCCGCTACAACAACAACAACGACGCAGCTAACAGGATTATGGGTAAACATGCTTATCTATGCACACTTCTTTAGCTCCCTTAAGTTGAGTTTGACGACAACCCGCGTAACTCTAACTAACTTTCGCACTTAAAACCCCCTTCCCTCAGGCCCGACCACATCGCTGTGCTTCTTGCTTTTGAGTTTTCTAACTGGTGGTTGTGGTTGGCAGTGTCGCGGGCGACGCTTGCGGTTGCAGAGCTTTGCACTCGGACTTAAGGTGGCTCCATTCGTCGCATGGATTGCACCTAATCCAAGTGGAGTGGATGGAGTCTTTTGTGGCATTCACAGCAGAAATAGGTTTTCGGTCAGTTGTTCGACCCGATAACAGCCTAAATCAGAAGTGAAGAATAAGGAACAACTATTGGAAGGTTTCTCCTTAAATCGGTTAGAACGCCGAACCAATGGAAATGTGTAATCGGCCCATGTAAGAGTAGATATAGAATCGGCTGTCCTGGGAAATTCGACATGTTGTTGTTGTTGTTGTAGCGGCTACAACAACCCCGTCCAGATCGGTTGATATCTCAGTCGTTGTCGTCGAGTTCCACTTACGGCAGCCAGAAGAAGCGTGCAGCCTCTATGGGGTCGGTCCACAGGGACGACGCCGTTAGGGTTGTGGGGTTTTCCGGGCATGCGAAGAGATGTTTCGAGTCGTGAATTTTGGCTCTGTCGTCGTGCTTCGTCGGATTGGACAGTGATCTCACGGTTGAACAAAGCTTACTCACACCAGTGGTGAAGTTACAGGTCTTCAGATGCTCTTCCCACTTCTTCCGCTTATGTACGTTTACTAGTTGCCGAATCTCCGCGTTGAGATCCCTGATACGGGGATCTCCGGGATCGGCCTGACGAAGGCTATCACGCTCAGCGGCTAGAACAGCCGCATCAGCAGGGAAATTTGGACGTGGGTCCGTGATACATCCTGCCGGTACGAAGCGAGCTGCAGCAGCAGCGACAGCCCTGCGGAACTTATGTTCACCAAGGTGGACGTCGGTTGGTGTGGGGAGAGCAGCGAAGGTGTTTTCAGTAAATTCCGCGAAGCCTTTCCAATCAGCTTTAGAAAAGTTGATATATGTATGTTCGGTGCTCCGCGGAAGCAAAGTCGGTTGGTTTATCGATCGAGATGACTATGGGCAGATGGTCTGATGCCAAAGTCAGCACAGGTCGCCATGATATGCTGTTTATCAGACCAGCGCTGACTATTATTGTCTGGCGAGCTGCAGCAGCTGCCCATAATCCTGGTGGGTACGTCGTCGTTCATTGTGCATAATGTCGAACCGTCTATCTGCTCAACCAAGTCAGTTCCGCTACGATCGTTTGACAGGCTTGAGTGTCAAAGATCGTGGTGCGCATTAAAGTCGCCTACTATCATACGGGTTTCACTTCTGAGGAGCGCACCTATGTCAGGGTGATATCCTGCCGGGCAGCAGGTGACAGGGGGTATATAAACGTTACATACTTCGAGCTCAACATCGCCTGACCGTATAGAAATGCCCTGACATTCTAGGGTGGTATCCCTGCGGTCGATGTCTGCTTCGATAAGACGATACTGCACGGTGTGGTGCGTGATGAACGCTAAGCCACCACCATTATCCCGTTCACGATCTCGACGGTGCACGTTGTACCCGGCACAATTATCTTCTCGATCTTGCTCTGAAGCCCGTTACAGTTAAATTGAAGGAGCTTCATGTGGTTCGGGAGACGTGTGGTGTTGCGGGGTGTGAGGGATGTGTGTGGTCTTGCCGCAGTTGGCTGTGTGCGCAGCTGAGGTGGTTGCCGCCCTGTGGTGGTGGCGGGAGGCGTCGCAGTTGAGGTCTGCGACCGAGCAGCGCAACACGGGCCCTCGAAGTTCCTCTCCAATCTCGCGTAGTGCGCAGACCTGAGCATGCCCTAAAGTGGCACCAGCCAAGGCAGGCGTTTCACTTGACTGATGTCACATTACGGAATATCCTGGTCTGACATACCGTGCAGATTGTAGGAGGAACCAGTTGTTGGCGGCAGCGTGTGGGTATTGGTGCGGTTATGTTTGTTCTGTGGTCTGTACTGGCTGTGGTATGGTCTGTGGTGTTATTATGTTGTTGTGTTGTGGTGTTTGTGTGGGACTGCTCAGGTGGACTGGGGTTAGCCGTGGAGGCTGCTCTGCCGATGTGTCCGTAGTCCTGAGCAGACTCTAAGGTGACTCCACCCCTCGCAGGCATTACACTTGACTGAGGTGGAGTTGTGGTGTAGTCGTCTCTGGCATACACAGCAGGTGTAGATTTCTGGCCCTGGGTTTGACTCGATGCCAGCCCTGAGTAGAATACGTAGCGAATTTAGCTCTATGGACGAGCAACTTCTGAGATACTTCGCCGACCTAAACGGAGTTAGATCGACGAAACAACAGTCCTTGGTCGGGTAAAACCCCGAGTCATTCCGGTACGTAGAACCGGCTGTCGTGGGAATGGGAAATTTGACATCACAATGGTCGGTTTAACTTAACCAAGTATACCTCGTGTGAAAGTTATATTTGCCATAGAAAATACTTATTTATAGGGCTCGGAATCTCATGCACTAAAAAATCGATATGCGCATATAATATGCATTCAAAATTCAAAAATATGCACTATAAACATGTAAAATATGCAATTAAAAATATTTTCTTAATATTTTATTGCCGGTACAAAAATAAATAACAAATATATTTTAACAGCAAATAACGAAAACAATTAACTTCAAAATACAATACATATTTACGCATACAATTTTTTTATAATTTAGCGAACAGTCACAATCTTGTGTAAATAGAAACATTGAGAGTTTAATAGTGGTTCAGATGAATGTTTTGTTGGTAAGTTTGCCATTTTGATTCTTACAGGAAGGGCAGACAGTCACTTTTGAGCCAGGGTCATCGCAACTGCGACAGAGCCTCTTGAAGGGCAATCCAATCCTTTCGGCATATATCCCACCAGGCCAGTACCCTGTGCACACTGTAGTAAGTTTCTAGGTATTTTCTCTGCTTATTCTTAAGAGACCTTTCGTTTTAAGTGGGTCGTAGGACACCCAGAACTGCCGGGTAATCATGTACGATATTTCACGGTACTAGATCAAATTAGTTACTTTACCACTACTCTACTAAATTATCGGAGATCCGAGATGAAAAACGAAATCCCTCCGCGTTGTATCTTCTTTCCGCCATCTTCGCCCCCGAATCCAAATATATAACAAAACTATAGCAACTTGTCATTTTTAATTTTTATTTAGGTCACATAAATACATACATCATATATTTATAAACTGTTAAAGAAAATATTAACACGATTTACTGGTTAATTAATCAAATCAAAATGAAGTGAGGTGATGTGTGCTTGCATGAATATTTTATTGTGTCTAGAGAAATAGAAAACGCTTAAAAATAGAATAGCTTAATTCAAATGTATTATATGTAAGCGAAAAAAATGTATCTTGCACGCAATTTTACTGCTTAGAATAATATATAGAATTTTCTGAATCAAAAGTTTCAAATGAGAAAACTCTCGATTTAAAAAATGCGAATTTAAAGATGTTTGGCACTTACAAATTCAACAAAAAATCCGGACAAACTAATACACATACAGTGAGCGTCAATAATAAGTATACGCTGACGTTTTGAAGATTCTATAATTTATGTACTTTGTTTTTCCATCCGAAATTGTTCCTATTTTTTATAAAAATATATTTCATTCAACAGCAAAAACCACAAGAAAATATTTTAAATTTAATACATAACTCGGGGAAAATGCAAGAAATTTTCATCGAAATTTCCCATTTTTCAATTCGATTTCATAAACAAATTTTGAGTGTACAGTTTTGTTGCCCATTTAATTTTACTGCAACTTTCAAGGTGCTAAGCATTACCGTCGATTTTTTAGAATTTTTTTCGCTGAGGGTGGGTGTTGCGTACCTTCTTTCATATACAATAAACAATAATAAAAAAAATATGGCGTTCATGCGTTCTACGGAAGAAAATGCAGGGACGGAAAATAATCATTATTTTTTAAATTTGAACCAAAAAAAAAAAATCAATAAGTTGTAATCGTCGTTTTAACTTTACTGACGTATTTGTATTAGTACGTCCTACTGTGATTTACAATAATATTTATTTGTCGAGTTTAACCAATAAAGATTAAGGATAATTAATTTTTTCGCTCAATGGTAATTATTATTGCTCGATTTTTATTTTTTCGATCAAAAATAATGATTATTTTATGATTTTTATTTTTTCACTTAAAGATAATTATTATTACTGAGTTTTATTTTTCCACTTAAGAATGATTCTTAAAAAAAAACTCAAAAGCTATAGTAGCGCAATTTCCGATGTATCCTTTTCAGAGGTAGCGACACACTAATAAAAGGAACAAGTCCCAAAATTCTCAAGTCAATGTTTCGGTTGGTTACGTCTGTACGAGCTTTTAAATTTTATAAATAATCATTAGTTTTAAGTAGAAAAATAAAATTTAATTGCAATTTTTATCTCTGAGCGAAGTAATAAAAATCATAAAATAATAATTATTTGTGATCGAAAAAATAAAAATCAAATAATTATTTCCGTTAAGCGAAAAAATAAAAATCATTAAATTATTTATTAAATGCTGATTTAAATTATTTTACTCATAATTATTACCGACCCTGAGAAAACGTGCAACATCCCCAGCGAAAAAAAAATATCCAAAAATAAACGGTATTGTTTAGCGGCTTGAAACTTGCACTTTATTGTGCTAAAATTTAATGCGCTACAAAATGCATACTCATTTCTAGTTCTCTTTTGAAAAAAGAGATTTTTGTGGTTTTTGCTTTAAAATGAACTATATTTTTATAAAAAAAGGGAAATTTGGCTGGAGAATATAAATAAATAAAAATCTTCAAAACGTCAAGGTATACTTTTTTGACGCTCACTGTATATATGACCCAAAACGCGGACTGTTATATCACATTTGCGCTCACATTGCTTTCAAATGCCGCGGAAACTCCCTAAAATAAAACTATATGAAAAATTTTCTTCTTGCATCTGAAATTATGGGTGATATTTAATATAAACGTAAATACTCTTGTTTAGGAGTGAAGAATATTTCAACAGCGGACTGTTGCAAGTACTTCAAAAATTGTTGGGCTGTATTTAGAAGAAAAGGTATCAGATAGCTTTTTTCCAGCGAGTTGCAGCAGTATTTATAAAGCAATGTGAGGCAAATATGTATAATATAACAGTCTGCATTTTTGGCCATATGTACTTTTGCAATGCGACTCAAATCTATCCTAAGTTTATATAATTTTTTCCTGACAAGAAATATGACTTATTTTTGGACAAGATAAAGCGCTAAAGTCAATATTAAATATATACTAGCGAACACTGGATGTAAAATCAAATTAACAAATTTTAAACTGTGTAGCCGTAATTATACCATACAAATATCAAGATATAGTGGATTATTCAAATAAATAGCGTTTCTGCGCCATTTAACAATAGGTTTATAACTACAAAACAACTTATGAAAAGCGGTAAAACTTAAAGCAAATTTGCATAAGGCGAAGTTGTTACAAGGCGTTCAATCATATCACGCGATTCAAGCCTGTTTCAGACGCGATAAAATGTGAATTTAATCTACTTGGGTATCAAAAAATGTCTGCCCATCAATTCAAAATTAAATTGCGAGTTCTTCATTCTTTATACATATAGTAAATTAATTAAATTACTTACACACATACACGTACATATATTGTAAACCTAAACTTGTCTGAAAAATTTATGTTTTTTTACGTACTATTTACTTTTTTCATTTGCGACTTCTTCCAATTTAGCAATCACTTTCTTCAGTTCCATTTCACGCGCTATTTTAAGGTACATTGTCTTGCGTACCTCGTGGAAGGATACCCATGCTGGTACCTCTTTGGCCATAAGTTTCAAGTGCGCCTCCATTTCCTGTGCCGTCAGACATGCCCTGAAGCTATTCTGTATCTTTTTTATTACAATCTCCAGCATAAGCACTCCTTTACGCTCTGTAATGAAAACGTTTCGCAGATGACGTGCCAATTCCGGTAGACGTGAGTACATAGTGGCTTCCTGGTCCTGCGATGGCCGCCTTGTCATAGCGTCTAGCGCCTTGGCCGCTTGCTTTGCACGTATTTTTTCCAACAAAGATTTTGGCACACCTTTCAATAAATTGGATGTAACATCACTAGTGCTGGTTGCGCTTGAAGGAACGACTGACGTCTTCAATGTAGTTGGCGTAGTTGTCATCGTAGCAGAAGCACGACCTTCGACTATGGTCGCCAACTGACCTATACTGCCCTTTCCCGCTATATCGCTGGTCTCAGCTATGTTTTTAGCTTCATTATTTGCATTAATCTCTGCAACGCGCGTTGCCTCCATCTTAGCTTCATAGCGTTCCATTACACGCTCCATTGGTGTAGCACAATTGAAAAGATTGCGCGCCGTAGACAGTATATCACGCGCCGAAGAATACTTTTCCACATTTGGTGGCTGCGGTAGATGAGCGCATTCAATATCTGGACAATTTTCCAAATCAAAATCTGGATGCCACCGTGTCACTTTCGACTTTGGAATGTTGATTGGTGGATCCAGTGAGCGCAAGAATTTTTCATGCTCGTTTAGGACGCGTTGCATTAAAGTGTTTGTGAAGCGCTGAAAGCGTTCAATCATCACCAGAGGATTCATGATACTTGACTGAGCCGCACTCAATATGTGGTCGGCAGCATCCTCGTCAACATGATAAGGTATTACTTTTTCCACCGCATTGCCGTCGACATTGGGACAAATGACCAATTGAAAATAGTCTGCCTTCGAAGTGGAGCCATAGTTGCGCATTTTCATTTGTGTAAAGATGAATGCATCAGGATAAACATTTTTGATTTGTGCCAAATGTGTTTCAGTGACATTCTTACGCAGCATACGCTGAACGGCAGGTTTCAATTTCTTGAAAGTAATACATTCTTTGCGATTATGGAACATGGCGCATACAGAGTCAACACCCTTGAAAATCTCAATAAGATTACGGTATTTAAAAGGCAACGGCAGCTGTCCAGCTTTACTCAATTCGGCAAGGCTCATGAAACGTTGGTAAGCGGGTGGTACAACCATTTTCGAAGGCGAGCCCTGTTTGGCCGGACTGAAGAGAACACGTTTCGAAACATCTGTATGGCGTGGTGACATAAGCTCATTTTTATCCGGTGTGGGTGGTGGTATTTTAGTTGGTGTTTTAAATGTCTTTGCAGGGCTGAAATAACGGCGAAAATAAAATAAAATTACTTAGTTATAAGTTGTACAACATCTAACATCTTATATTTTACGGCCATTCACAATTTTAGGGCTGACTGAATCGGTTATCAACCAGCGAATTTAAAAGGACACTGATCCTGGAGTGGCACAAATTGAAGGGCTTCTTCTTTCGCTACTCATAGAACACCTACCAGAAGAGCTTTTATAGGATGTACTTTAGTAGGCCTTTAGGATAAGCTATTTTAAATTTGCTTCTTTAATTTATAAAAACCATACATCTTTGAAGTATTTGCTTGAGGTTTATATCAATTGTGACAATTGTGTGTATTATTGAAACTTAACATGTTTATTGAAATTCATTTCTAATGCTAACTAATATAAATTTATGCATTTGCGTAAATTGTAAATGAATAAGCGCCCTTCTAGCAGGCATGCAAAGAATAACCTTTTTAGCCCTTCTTGGGTAGGCCTCTTAAAATGGCTTCACTTAAGAGGGCCTAGCTAAATTATCTCATGGGTATATATGTACATATGCCTTTCCTGCGAATTCGATAGTTTTCAACTTCGGAAAAAATTAATCGCTTTATTTTCATACAAATTATGTATATAGATGGTGTCATATAAGGGTCAGATATAATTTTGTTGTGCCTACGCATATTTAAAGTATGTATTTACATATTTGTACATATGCATGCATTTATGAAGGTATGGCTGTCTTCCTAAACGCATTATTGCAAAGCATCAGTCTCTCTTATTTCTCAACCATAGGAGATAAAAGTATTCAATTTGCGCAACTTTTTTAAAAATCGTTATCTTTTCATGGTTGCGCATATTGGATATTGATATGAGCCATTATTAAGAAATAAAAGACTCTGATTGCTTTGCATTAATGCGTTTAAGTATATAGCCTATATATTATGTACATATCTAAATACAGTGAACCCCGTTTAAGTACACATTTTAGTTTCCTGAGATGCTCATTCGGGTTGCATATTGACTGTTTATTTATTTCAATTGAAATTTTAAAACGTAAGTAGGTACCCAATCATGAACATATTATTACTTGAGCGGGCTAGGGTAAGCACATAGTGGAGCGGCGAGCAAGGCGAAGTAGAAAAGGAGTACATACATACACTTAACGGCAAAAGTATTGATACACCATATCTTTTTTAAATATTCACATTATTTTGCAAGCTAAAATTTGTCATTTATTTTTTTTAAGAATATGGAAAATTCTTTAAACAAAATCATATAGGTAAACCAAGGTTACAAGTTTTATACAAAATTAATGATAATTCAACGATTTTTATTTTTTTTTTATTTCAAGTATGCAGTTTTATATTTATAGTCCATTCAACTTTAGTATAATAATGTGTAAAAATTATGTGGCTAAGAAAACGCGATAATTTTTTTTTCTGGCGGTTCCACGCGTTTTTCTCCATACCAAGTATGAGTAAATGTGATTAAGATTAATTTTATATAAAGCTTGAAACGTTGTTTTATTTAATTTTGCTTAAAGCATGATTGATATTTACAAAAAAAGATTTAAAAATTTAAATAAAAGTCAATTTTAGCGTACAAAATATTGTGAATATTTAAAGATATGGTATACCAAGACTTTTGCTGTTGAGTGTATGTACATATGTACATATGCGCTTCACTATGTGAGCTCCCATTGAAACATAAAAATTTGTAATCGAGGCTTGGCTTGATACGGTTTGCTCACCGCTGCACTGTTTCTAGCCTTAAGCAGTTTTTACGGAATGTGTGAATTTACAGCGTCAAAAATATGCATATCCTGATCTTTTGTGTTTATTATATTTATATTTTACTTACCATCTTTTCCTTTTTTATAAAAAATGAGTTCACGCAACAGCAAAAACCAGAAGAATGCATTTTTTCGATTGCCTACAAAACTGGGGAAAATGCAAGTTACACCTAGAAATTTTCATCAAACCCTTTAATTTTCAAGTTTCAAGTTAATAAAAACAACCGTTAATTTTTGCATTTTTTTGCGGAGGGTGTAGCGCATTTTATTCCATAAAAAGAAGACAAATTCGGTATGGAAAATATAAATAAATAAAATTGTCAAAACGTCAGGTTGGGTATGCATATTTTTGACGCTGACTGTATGTATGTACGTCTTAAGTACGAAAGCATGTGTGTACAAATGTAAAAATATTTAACGTAGATGCTAAATACTGTATATTGCGATTGTACTATAGATAAGATCTACTATAGAGCACACTCATATATGTACATACAAATGTATATCTATGCCGGAGTGGGTTAATTGCTCATGCGGATTTCATTGGAAAGGACCAGCCCAAACGGAAAAGTTCGTTACAAATGTAAGATTCGGTAGAAAATTCCTTGGCACTTGAACGTATACAAATATGAGCATTACTCGGCTACCTGCCTGCCTTTTTAAGGAATTACTCATAATATCATGTCAAAACGGCCGTTACAAAAACTACCCCCGAAAAGGATAAAATAAAGAGCCGAAAGCAAATAAAGGAGCCTTGTGAATATAAGATATGAAAAGGAGAGGTCAACTAAAAAGTGAAAAATAAGTAAATGCAATGCACACATCCATATGTACATACTAGGTATACACATGTAGGTATGTAAGTATTAGCATTTAAAATTACACATCTGACGGTATGTAATAAACGAATGTATGCAGTTTATTTTATAAAAGTCTGTGGAAATGTAAACAAGACTGTGCGCTGCTTGATTTCCAAGTGCAATGGTAAGCAAAAGCAACGCGCAACATGCTAGGAAGAGAACGAATTATTGTATGACAATGACGTAGCTAACTGAATGACCATCGGTGCAGTTGGCAATTGCAACGCCAGCAGTTTTCTATATGGTCGGTTTTTTTTTTAGCCATTCACTGCCACTGAGCGAAGATAGTGGTTTAATAATTTATAAAACTATGACCTCAATAGTTGGTTTGCTAAACGTTCTTTCGCTTTACCGGGTTACCGTTTGTAGGCCATATAAAAGCATTTGTTATTTGGGAACTTAACAAAATGTATATTTTATAATAGTAAAATAGGTTTGATGGGTCAGTTATATAAACACTCACCTAGTCAATACTTCCAGTTCAATTTTATCAAATTCTTTTAGCTGTACAACAGGCGCTGCATTCTTCAGTGGCGAAACGCTTTGACCCTCACGTAAACGCCTATTACGATCCTCGTGAGCCTTGCGCGTCTTTTCAAGTTCTTGTATGCGCGAAAGGGAAGCCTTCAATTCCTGCAGCTTGGCACTACGCGACAATTTGGTCTTCACTTCGTCGAAATTGAGTTCCTTGCGCACCATGCCTTTCAATTCATCATGTTTTAGTGGGGTAGCTCCCGAGCCCTTGATTATTTGTTTAGTTGGAGTTTTAAGGCCGCGTAATACATTCGTTACATTGTCCTTGGGAGCAAAGGCATAGGCCAGTTTTGTCGCTGTATTCCCATTGGGTGTCTCTTCATTTTTCTTCTGCATTTCATTAATAGCTGCTGGTTTCTTACGTGGAGACAATGGTCCTTTCCTAATGAACTGTACAAGCGTTTTTTGTTGCAGTGGCGCTTGCTCCACTTTACTCTGCTTCTTTGCAGGCACATCCGCGGTAGGCTGTGTACCGGTGCGTTTAATAGTACGACCGGATCGTGTTCGTACTCCAACAGCTGCAGCCTTGGTAGCAGCGATATCATCGTCATCATTTTGGTTTCTTGTAGCGCTGGGAGCTGGAGTCGTATTATCGTCCGTTAAACGCTATTAAAGTAAACATCATTAGTAAATTTAAAAATCTTCACTCAAAAGCATACACTTTCAATTTGAAACCTTATTTAAATTTATAGTGTAGTTTTCCAATATTTAAGAGCACATTAGCCTTCTAAGAGTGTATTTAGAGTTACATCACACACACCCATATACATACATATATGTATGCACGCGCGTAGTGAGAGCCAACAATTTAAAAGGGCGAAATGCCTTCACATACAAAATGTCCGTTTGCTCAATCCAGCAAGGACGCCAAAGGATATCACCTAGTACACTTATACATAACATGCATGTCACTCACTTACCCGACTTTTTATAGTAGCTGCTTCGTCTGTAGCGACTCGCTTACGCGTATTAAAATATGAGGCTATCGAAGGTTGCGACATAATACAATTTATGAGTATTAATTAGTTTTAATTGAGCTTGATTGTCCTTGTAATTAGTTCTTATATATTTTCACAAAAGTGCACGTCTTATCAATGGTCTACAGCTCACTGCCAATTCCCACGTCTTTACTTTATCCCGCTCAAATTTCGACTGACACGCATTTTCCCTCCAAAAGCATTCAAAGAAAGTGCTAAATCGCACACCGTTTGGATGTGTAATTTTGTGTAGGTATGTGTAAACAGCACCCGATGCCATTGGAGTGCAACTAAAATGGGATTTTATAATTCTAATTTGCGTTGTCATTCGTATCTATGGTAATATTTTAATCAATTAAAGTCATTCCAATTTTCTCCTTAATTTAGTTTTCATTTCTTGCAAAAATTTCTGATATTTTTAATTGTGCAGAAATTCATTTGCAAGTAGTGGTTTTAGCGCGCAATTTTCCCCTCTTTCGCGCGCTTTTGTTTTGGGAAATTTTTTACCAGTTTTTATTAGTGTCGTCCTGCTCATAAAGTTATGCCTTCTCCTTCTTGCATTTTTCCGTGCGTACCGAAATGCAATCAAGAATCAGCTGTTTCTGACAACCATTCACGATTGTTGTCTCACTCACTCCGGCTAAAATATTTTCAACGACACCAAAATTTTTTCCGAAGGATGGAAAATATATAAAATTTGCAATGCGCACTTGCGAATAATTACACTAATAAACCACTATTCCTAGTTGTTACAGTATGCAAAATGTAGCAATTGTGATGTATATTTGTAAATGTTTCTCGCACAACTACTAATCGAAAATTTAGCAGAAGGGAAAGCACTACTGTTCTTTGTTTTTGAAGAAAAATATTCCTTTTGGAATTGATGATGTTGCCAACTTCTAAAACGCAGGGTTGCAAAGTAGCTTTAAGGTTTGCCAGGGTAACCAGCGCTCGCAAACTATTACCTGATAATAAAGAAGCTTCAACCAAAATTTCATCACGCAAAAACGGGAGGTTGCATTTGTAGCTCGTTTTCAGCTTAGTATCCAGCTCTTAAGAAAACGGTCAAGAAAAAATTGCCATTATTTCGCGTGTGTGTCCAAGGAATTTTGACATTTTTGATAACGCACAGCCTGTTGCCTCACTCTTTCCTCAAGAAATAATGGAACGGGCATATATTTCTGTTGCAAACCTGGGTTGCCTTGTGCTCTTTTTTCACAAAAAACTTTAGAAAACCGTAGTAGAAAGCGTACTAAATTTCTGAAGAACTGCGTACTGCCTTAAGGAAATTTGACTCAAGAAAATTTCTTAGCCATTTCTTGTACGTCATTTTATATGGAGTTTTTGCTTTTCTTAAAAGCTGGATACTAAGCTTTCCCATTTAAAGAACCAAGGACTCGAATTCAATTAACGTTGAGCGTGTGGTAGCAAATAGAAAACACAAAAGAGAATGCGAAAAAAATTGCTTTCAAGACTTGATGTGTCTGAAAGGGGACTTATTTGGCGCTTGACGCGCCAATTTAGCCATTGTAACTTTTTCTATCATTAGCCATTTAATTTTTACTTTTTGTGATATATCACTGTGAAAGCGTTTTATGCGAGCGGGCATCCGGTTAATGACTGTGGGAAATGGAATCGCTAACGAAAATAAAGGCCAACCGAAGTTATTTATGCAATTTTTTTTTGTTGAAGAGGTGAGTTAGTAAACTTAACTATGGTTTAGAGAAAATATATGATGAAAATGCCACGAAGTAAAGCAAACTATAAAAAATAGCAAGTAAAACTATTTTTATTCACTCAAATGATCACCGCTATAAACTTTTTTTTACAAAATTTACACACTGAAACCACAGTATATACAGTAATAAACGTTTTTGAGTACTCCTCGGGGGTAAAATCTTATCAGGGTTGATATTGAGAAGGAGCATGAATTTTGCTGATACAGAGTTGCATACAAAATTACTGTATGGAACAACAACCGTACTAAGGCAGAGTGATAATTTTAAAAAGATAATTGCTGTTTATTTTCCAATATTCAGATATCCAGCTTGTAGCCAGAGGTTGTGGCTTGTGAGGCTCACTCAAATCTTCTCACCATATTGCAACAGCTCCGGGTAATGGACCACTGAATGCGTTGGCTCAACTTATGACCACCATAACCAACGCAGTCTCCAACCAAGAGCGTGTCTTAAATATATACGGTAGCAATTCATAGCGATTGCTATTGTATGTATGTATGATTCATATTTGTGACATTCTATACTTCGATGTTAAGTATTTTTGAGCAGGTCCGCTCAAACTTGGGCGTGCTTAATGAGCTGTCTGGGCGGATGCGCTGGCAGGCATTGGAGTCTCTATAACTAAACAAACTTAGTTTTTTTTTTGGAACAAAGGCTTAAAAATATTCGGAAATTTAGAGTTTTCCTTGATAAATTCACATAATTCACGCTTTTTAATAAAAATACGACGTGTTTCCAGTTTATAGAACCACAAGCGTTAATTATGTACTTACACATATTTATATATATTTTATCCTCGAAAAAACCTTTTTCTAATCACGAGGCGAAACTCCCTACAGTAATACCATGTTCTGACCGACATCGAAAACATGTTTTCGTTGCTAAAACTGGGTTTCGACTTGTGTTTTCGTCCATGTAAAATCTGTCAAACGAAAACCAGTTTTCGCTGAAAACTACTTGAAAACTCACGTTCCACTCATTCCAATCGGTGTCTTCACTAGTGTTTTTTCGATTATTTATTTTTTATTTATTTATTGACAGTCTTTAAGACCTATAAAAAATCTTGTCAATTACATTATTAACTTATTTAATTTAATTGATTGCTCTTCTACTAATACTATACATTAACATTTTTCTTATTTTCTTTACTAAATTTTACTTATTTTCAAATACATACTTTATACATTTATACATATTAATTTATTGTACAATTAATTCATTAATTATACGTACATTACAACCTCGGGTTGGATAGCTGGCGAGGCCTAGTCTCCAGTCTATCTTTATGTTCAGCAGGCGGAAAGGCCTAGTTTCCGCTCTGCGTCAATAAAGGCGTTTACCATGTTTATCGAAGTGGAAGTCTTTTACCATCTTTAATACGCAATTTCGGATTTATTGTTAATTGGCTGGCAATAGTAAAATAAGAATGAAAGTAAGAGGTTGCTAATGAAAAGAAAATGAGGGAAAAGCATTTTGGTTTTCATTTTGTGTAGCAAAACTGTAATCAGAGGATGTCAGAAATGTCAACGAAAACTCTAACAACCGGTGTGAACAGCTTTCAGCCCATAATTCCAAAACTCGCTTTCAAAGTGTTTTCGTTGTCGGTCAGAACATGGTATAAGTGCATACAACCCAAAAGTACTCCCCGGGGACCAATTGGTGAAAAACTGCGAAAAGGTTTATTACTATTTATACTGTGTATCCAAGTCAAATATGCCGCGGAATTCAACGCTTGATTTTCGGCCCATCTTCTTCCCTTCAATAAACAAACTATACTAATTAGAAGCAAACTACCGAAGCACCTCACTCATTAGGGGTCTTCCCTTAAACTCGTAAAAGCCTCGTAAACTTCGTAAATTTCTCAAATTTACTATAATAATAATATATTGGCACTTACTCATATATTAGTGCTTAGTTTTACGACGACTCCGACTATTTTTCATGGCAGAAATGCACTCGGAGGTTCGCCATTGCCTGCTGAGAGGCGACCGCTGTTAAGAAAAATCCTTTTTTCTAATTTTTTGCGATGTTGCTTTGACCAGGGCTTGAACCCAGGCGTTGCGGAGTGGAAGCGTGCACTGCTTACCACTACACCACAGCGGCTGCTAAAAAAACTGTCAAAATTTGTATAGAGCTCTAGTATTTTTAGCATACATAGTTGGGTACCGTTGCATTTAAAATAAAAAATAAAACATAATGTCAATTCGAAACGTAAAAAAAGAATAAATCAAATAAAAGTCTAACCAATGCAGATAAGTCAAGAACTTGTTATAAAAGTTATTGTGAGTGATTTATTTTTATAACAAGATATAAATGACAATTTGTGACACAGCAATAAATGTCCGATTATTTTCGATCTCTGGTTTGTGACATCCAAGCTTGACAAGGGATGACAGAAATTCGTTCCAAAATAAATCAAATTGGCTTTGTCTTTTCAGAGCCCCATGCAAATAGATAAGTAGACAAAACATGAAAAAATTTGTTTTAACTTTTTATCTTTTTGAATTTTTTCCGCCCAGGAACCATGTGTGCCATTTTTAATTTGTTTCAAGTATAACGGTACGCACTGTGCCTTGGGACGCACAGGAAACGTCCTTTTTCGTTAAACTTGAAACCAAGCCATCTTTAAACTTTTCATTACCAAGCCGAGCAAAGATCCATATTAATGCAGTGACGTACATATGTAATTGCAACTCTGCTTTCCAGCGATTCCAACCACATGTTTTATTGAACTTGTGCCAGAAGCAGAGAACCTTCTCTGTCAAAAGTGCAAAAAATTTCGATGGAAGAAAGTTCTGATCGTATTTTCCTTTATCGCATATCCTAGGAATGTAAGTGCAGGTTTTTCTTTAAATATTGAGTTTTGTGGCGTGGCTGAAAGACTGAAGTAGTTTTCTGGATTACACGATTGATTTAAATATTAAAATGAGATGTGCCAAACATTGCAAAAAAATGTGTAAATACAGTTGGCAATGCAGGTTTTACACATTTTCGTTACTTTGACGACATTCGCGAACGGAAGGCTATGAGTTTGTAAAACCGAAATAGACTATATTGCACCTCGAGTGTCTCGCAAATTTCCATATGCTAGAGTGAGAAAGTATATATGTTCCAATTGGAAGTTCTATATAAAATTTAGCTCGGCTGCGTTTTGTTTAATTTCTTTTATCCCACGAACAAACTTGAACGGAGAAAATCTTTTCGAATGCACTTAAAATTTTGAAAGTTTTATTTTTGAGCAAAGATATTCGTGAAAAAATTGTCACAGTGAAAATTTTTTAAGTAATTTTCGACTAGGCATTGGACGTACTTCCAGGAAAAGCGGCGCAACCTTGCCAAATTTATAACGAAGCGAAAACTTACCAATTTTTCTCTTTCAACAATTTCTACAGTGCGACCTAGGAAGTGGTGCAGCTGAATTTTAGGAAAAATAAGCAGTATCCGAAGGCGAAATTCTAAAATTCTGATTGAAGATAACGTTTTTTTGTATAACGAGAACAATTTGAGTTTTAGAATACTGAAAAATACATTCTGATTGTAGCAGCTGGGACGGCTCTGGCCAATAATACCTCACTGTCATTCGCGATTTCAGCATCTAATACTGCAACACGGGCAACAAAAACAACAGCTGTCACAACAGCAAAAGTAGCAGCAGTAAGCGCAAAGACCATTGAGATGAACAATAAAGCTGACGTCAACAGGCGAGTTTTGGCCATACAGGCCAAGAAGAAACGCCATAAGCCTAATAAGAAACGTGGTAAACCCAATGGTGTCGCAGGAGGTACCGGCGCTGGAGGTGGCCAGACACCGGGAAATTCTAATAATAGCAACCAAGGTGGCGCTCCTCCTACATCTCCACTTTCGCCAGAATGCGAAATTAATCCGAAAATGTCGAAATCTTTTAGCGGAGCTCCGTCGACTAGCGGCACAGGTTCATTGACTGTCAATACACCTGCTACAGGCTCGGCCAACAATTTGGACGACATTTCACATATAAAGGGTGCGGCGAATAATGCTGGTAATAGTGGTGGAAGTAGCGGCGGATTGGGCAAGAAGCAGCCTGCTAACTATCAGCAGCAATTTGTGCAGCCACAACAACACCAGCAACAGCAAAAGTGTATGAGTAGTTTACAAGTGCAGCAACAATTTCAGAATTTACAACAGCAGCAATACGACGATGCTCAGCATCAAATGCAGCAACAATATCAGTACCCGCCACGCAGCTCATCAAATGATTCCGAAGACTCGGAATTAAATAGTGAAAATGAAGAGCAAGAACTAAAGGAAGACTACTGCAAAGGTGGCTATCATCCTGTAAATATTGGCGATCTCTTTCAAGGTAAGTTTATGTATATTAAATTTTTTTATAATTTTTTAATTTTTACATGTTCATACTTATAATAACTTCTTAAAAATTATAGCAAAGTTTTCAAATAGAGTATTTAAGTAAAAGAAAGTAAACAAAGTACATATTCATGTATCCCAGTTTGGTCCTTATGACAACCTATAAAAAACCCAAATATTATATTTGTATGTACATATGTATTTGTATGTACATACGTTATCATTAGCAACGCTATGTACTTTTTTGTTGTAAAATAAATATATATAGTATGTACTATGTATTCCCCCATGATGCGTTGTACTTCGGTACTATTCGGACACTGGTACTTGTACTGAGCTGAGCTATCAACAAAACAAATGTGCCAAATGTATGTTATGCGTTGGCTGTTAATAAAACATGCGTTCGCACATTCAGATTATTCCTGTCACCAGCCACGTCGCTGTTATCATTATTTTTTTTTTTTTTTTTTGTTTTTTTTTTGTAAATCGATGGCAACCAGAACATTGTTAAAGCAATCAATAAAGCGAGCTTGGTATACTCTAACCAGAAAAACAAAGAAATCTCCACTTTTGTTTTGGGTGGCGCTCCCTATACACACTGATTCTCATTGTTATATGAGTGCTCTATACATTTTATAGACATTTTATTTAATTTGATGTATTTAGTACATACTAAATACCTATGGTCATCGCCGGAATCGAGTGCCATTGCATGATGCTACTTTTCGATTGGTCTGGCTTCTATACCTACGTAAGACATGATGTTATTTCGATAATACCGCATCAGTCAATACCATAACTCCGAATCCATTTTTGTATTGGGAAATGGACTGAATTAAATCTATATTTGGAGCAAAACTTCGGCCTGTGACATAGTGTAGAATATATTCACCAAGCGTAATAATACGAAAAACATGATTGTAGAATACCTACGTATAATGAAGTGCAAGTTTCAAATTGGTGAATAATCCCGTCGGTTTTTGAGATTTTTTTTTGGTTGAAGGTGTTTCGCTCTTTTTCCATACAATGAATGGCAGTGTCGCCAGCAAAAAAAAAAAAATAAAATAAAAATCCACGGGCTACGAAACTGCATTCCATAATTTTTTTTCTTAAGATTCTGATTAAAAAGTTTGGAAATTTCCAATTTACGGAATTTTTATAATTTTTGTACAAAGATTGAAATACGAATCGATATGGTGTTTGCAGTATGGTGGTGACTTGAAACTTGCACTTTATATACCGAAATGAATATGCTATAAAGCTTCATATTAGACTATTTTCTAAGAATTCTAGATAAAAAAATTTTATTAAAACCTTTTTAAATTTGATTAATATTTGTGAATTTTGCGTAAGCTTTGAAAAAAATTTATATATGACAGAAACCAGTTAAATGTCCAACTATATTTAAATTTTTAGAGGACTTGCAACCACAACCAACTATTTTTTAACGGTGTGAAATTTCATAATACGTTTTTTTGGTACATAAGTATATACAAAATACAAATCCCTTATACAAAAAGTATTTCAAATACAAATACAAAATACAAAATACGTATTTTTAAAATACAAATACAATTGAAATAATTTGAAATCGGACCGACTTGAAATGCAAAAGGCCGCAAAGAAAAAACTCTAATAGGCGGCATACACGGTGCGTATGGCTCGCGAGTCGGGTTGGATGTGTTTGTGAAAATAAATATGTGTTAGTTACACCGACATGACTCTGGTATGACCCTGAATGACTCAACTGCGTGTAATCGAAAGGCGAGCCATACGTACACAGTTGACTCGCGAGGCAGAGGCACCGTCTATGTTGCCTATAAAATTCACTTTTTCATTGATTATGAAGTAAAGAAAATTTATTTGCACTGTATGCACTGTGACCAAGAGATCTATTGTGCACTCAACAATTAACACTACCTTATTTAATCCTAGAGAACCCAAAAATTTGAGGAGATCTCCAGGTAATTAGCGATTGTATTTGCTCTTCACTTGCCAAGAGTTGGCCTAGTTACCTCTACCGTCTTCTGGCAACCGCCTCGCGAAGCAGGTGCAAAGGAGTCTCCTCAGTCACATCGCAGAAACGACATATTTACGTCGTTCGATCAGATCCCAAGCTTGCGCGGTGACTTCTTAATCTGCAGTGACCCGTCAGAAAACCTGTTATTATCCTTACCCTCTTTTTGGGGAGGTTTATTATTGCCCTGTACCTGCAGTGCTGCGCCAGTGCTGATTTCTTAGCCTGTTCCTATCCTTCCTGAGCTCATTCTTGATTGTGCTAGGTTCGATCGCAAGCTAGGGCTCAGGGCATATACATATAAGGAGCACTTGACCTTAAATGATGAGAGAGTAATTTCTACGTAGGTTAATCTCTGCGCACGGACTAATGGCATAGACCTTCGCTTGAAAGATACTCATAAATACTGCTTAGAATTGTATTTAAAATATAAATAAAAAAATATTCTTGTAAAAAGTATTTAAATACAAAATGAAAATACGTGTTTTATATTTTTTATTTGTATTTTAAGTATATGAATTTGAAATAACGTAGCAGGTCTGGAAATGCATATATGTACATATGTATGTATTTATTTTATTTTTTCCGTTTCTTAAAAGAAGTGGCTCCGGGCCAGTCCAATGATATAAACACAATTCTGCAAAATTCAAATGTAACATATTGTGCTAAAAGAAAAAAGTCTACAATGAGCTAATAGAAAAAATTTTACTCGGCATCTTCAAATATGAAATTGCCCATGTAGGATCAATACTCTTCGATCGGAGGGGATCAGAACAGTTTATGTGTGGATTCGTAGAAAAAATATTTATCTTCCCCAGTCCTCTTTGATCCCTGTTTTACGATGTTTAGACTATTTTTCAACAATTTTTCATTTATTCCATTTTTGAGATCGCAAATCCAATATGGCTTTATCAGCTTAAGTGAATTTTTAATTTATTAAATTTCTCATTTTATTTGCAGCCCTGTTTCACCTCAGTTAAATAATATAAGTAGCTGGCTACCAAGAATGATAGAATACAAGATTGCGCCGATCAGAGAGGATTTTTGAGAATAACTTTTGTGTGACGTCACACTGGTGCAATTGCGAGAGAGAAATGCCAAAACGTGAGCAAGAATGGAAGAAGAAGAAAAAATGTTGCAAGGAAAATGTAAACAAGATGCACCAGTGTGACGTCATGCAAACGACGATTCTGTCAAATTCGTTAAGAGTGGAATAGCGGTCCGACATCGGCGCAACCTTTGTATTCTCTCAATCGTGGCTGGATACGCTACTTAGATACTATAACAAATATTTTTATTACGACAATTTTCTTTATAATGATTGCATTGATTTAAAGCAACTACAACTAAGTGTCCTATCTATTGTCCGCTACTGTGGGTACATACCATTATTTTAGTATAAATTCATATGTTTGCAAGCATGAATTTGTGGTGCGTGCGGCTTTCCGTCTCGTTTGCAAATTGCCGTAACCACCTGTCAAATGGTGCACCAATGTTGGTCGCATGGATCCATTTCAAACAATTACATGTAATTGTTATATTAATAATTAATATACGCGCTTGCAATTTTGTATATGTCAGCAATTTTCGTGTATTTGAGCACTTCAATTCATGGTTATATTTTTAGTTCAAGATATTAATAAGAAGTCGTGGTGGGCAATACAATGGCCGTTTTCAGACACTCGGTTAAAACTGATACTTTCATATGCATTATGCATGAGTCTCGGAAAGTTTGGTTTTGATGTACTTTCTAATTTGGGATAGTACCTGCGCTTCTATGAAGCCTCGTGATAGAGCTTTTCCTGATATACTATGTCATGAAAAAATTGAAAAATTAAGCATATGCAGATATTAAGTTATATATAAAAAAAAGAATTTGCAATATACTGCTGAAGTAGATGAAAGCGAATTTGGTTGTCAGAGCACACGCCTGTGAGCGAACACTTGATTTTAACTTATTACTCTTGCAGATTTTGAGATATGACAAGTAATTTTTAAGCAAACAACAAAACCTACGTCTATTCTCATATAATATTTTAAGAATACCGTTAACTTCTTCATGATCCAATGAAGAAACCAACCAACCAATAAACCAAATTAGTATGGGGCCACCTCTCCTTTGTAAAAAGAATTATATAAATCAGTTTACTTGGCCCAAAGTTAAGGTTCATAAAAATAAACAGGTTTCGTTGCAACTAAAGATGCATATTCAAATTCGTTTGTAATATTAAATAATATCGACTTACACATTCCAGTAAATTCTTAATAGAAAAAGCCCTTCTAGAAGGCATGCTGCGAAGAACATCTTTCTTTAGCCTCTTGGGTAACGCCTTTACAATGGCTTCACTTAAGAAGACCTATCTAAATTATCTTCTGGGATTATGCTATTCTTTGAGCGAAACGAGAGCCCACCCTCAGTACCTGAATCAGCAAGTTTTGGGAGTTAGGATTAGGTTGAGAAATTTTTCGTCCTTGGATGACCAAGTTGATTGTTTGACCATTTTTCATTACATACTGCTTTTGTTATAATTATAGCTTACCAGTAAATTTTTTTAGAAACTGCAATGATGCAATTGCACCTTACTCATACACTGTCTACCTGCGATAATGTTATGAATCGATTTTTGTCATTATTTATTTAAATGTACATATGTATGTATCTACATAAAGTACATAAGTACAAGAAAAGTTTTGTTTTTAAAATTGTAGCAAATGACAACATTTAATAAATAATGAAGCCGGAATTACTAAAGTTTATTAGCAGCCACTCCTTTCACTTGCCATTACTTGAATATCTGCCATCAGAATCCTCCGCCCCGTTCCATTTACTGGTACTTACTCTAACCGTAAAGTTCGCAATTTGTCAGCTTAATTAAATTTATGTAGTCACTGTTAAGTTGATGAGAGTATGGTTTCTTACAGTGTTCCGTGCACGTCCGGTGAAGTGGTCGGTTCTACGTCCGTGGTAGGGTCAATAAAGAATCGTTGCGGCTACTCGAAAGAATATCTGACTTGAATGCCACGTCGCCCGTCTTTGCCTTGGCGGCGGGTGGGCTGCAGCTGATTGCGATGCGCCCATTGTGCTTTAGTCTGCGAGTGGCATTGAAATGTGCAGGTCTAAATCAACGTTATTGTTGCAATGATTCAATGTCCGTCGTAGTGCTACGCATACATTCATACAACTGCTCGTACTGTAGGCAAAGCAATGAACTGTAAATAAATAAAGAAATACAAAATAGTTGAAAAAGTGCAATAATGTGTTAAATAGCGCGAAAAGTAGACAAATAATCCAAATTAGAATCAAAGTGTCGCATAAGTGTAATTCTGGTTGCCATAGGGGTTGATGATTGATTACCCGGACAACAAAAATTCGACGTTATGAATTTACTGCCAGACTGTGTTGGTTTTTATGATCTTGTCTATTTGCTAGGTGCATTCAAAAGCTTTGATGTTATACATATTTAGCATATTTTTTTTGAGTGATGAAATTAAATAGATTTGTGTTAATTTATGTAATATACATTTTAAAGACAAAATAAAAGTAGTAAAATAAGAAATGCTGCTAAAATTGTTTCAAGAAGTGTCACATGAAAAATTAAATAAATAACGCAATAAAGTAAAACAAGTAATTTTTTATCCACTCAGAGCCCTGCATTTGGGCGTTACCAGCGGAAAGTCTACCGCGAAGAAAAAAATAGAAGTCCAATATCTAACTTATTTATAGGAAATTTGGCTGCTTTTATCACATACGCACACTAGTTATGTAAGCAGAAACATGCGTGCCAAAAATGTTCCTGTTAGGTGTTTTGGAAAACCGTATTTATGCTCTGAGACATAGACATAAATTAAAAGTATATTCGACTTTTCAAATATCACTACTATTAACCATTTCAAATATTGCTACAAAAACTTGTATACAAATAGTCTTGTCCGATTCGCAGAGTTTTGTAAACCAAGTCAAAATCCACTTCCGCTTTTTGTAACGTCACGCCAGCGCATACGGCTAAAAATGTTTAAAAACGGACAATGAGCGTTATGAATAAAAACTAAGCAATTGCTTTTTCTTAAAATTTCAGAACATTACGCGATTTACTTAAATAAATTTAAGTGGAAGGTCTGAAATTTTAAGAAAAAGCAATTGCTTAATTTTTTTTTCATAAGGCTCAATAGCCACGCCTTAATCCCATATAACAGTAATTTAGAGAAATACGAAATCTTCGATAAATCAGTAACTACTAATTTATCCAAAATTGATGTTGAGGAATAACTCGTTTGCAGGAAATACGATTAGGCAAGTGTGAACAACTATACTGTCAATATTAATAACAAAACACTATTCATACAGTTTTGAGCGCCAGTGTATATTTGCTTCGATATGGTGATCGTCGCTGACTTGCGATACCACTTCTGGCAGGGTAGAATTTAGTTTCTTTTATAAAATTTCAAAGTGGCTCGAAATTTATAATTTTTCGATGTATAAACCACAAAGTGTTTACTTATATAAGTTCAATGTTGAAGCTGTTCATTCTATATTAAAGTAATATTTCTTTCGTTTTCCAGGACGTTATCACGTTGTACGCAAATTGGGATGGGGTCACTTCTCCACCGTCTGGCTGTGCTGGGATCTACAGGAAAAGCGTTATGTGGCCATAAAAATTGTAAAATCCGCACATCACTTCGCCGAGACAGCTAAGGACGAAATAAAGATACTCAAATCGGTGCGTGATTCGGAACCAAGCAATCCGCGTCGCCAAAAAACGGTGCAGCTGTTAGACGACTTCAAGATAACTGGAGTAAATGGCACTCACATTTGCATGGTGTTCGAGGTGCTCGGCGACAATCTACTCAAACTCATACGCAAGTCCAATTATCGCGGCATACCCATTGATAATGTGAAATCAATCACACGTCAGGTGCTCGAAGGTTTGGACTACTTACACACTTGCTGCAAGATCATACATACCGACATCAAGCCGGAAAATGTGCTACTTTGTGTTGATGATCAATATGTGCGTTCGTTGGCGAACGAAGCCACAGAGCTGTATGTGATGAATTATAAAATGTTTCCGTCTTTTGTAAGCCGCGCTCCCAAGGAGTATCGGGAACCACAAATTACTGGTAAAATGAGTAAAAATAAGAAGAAGAAACTAAAAAAGAAAGCAAAGAAACGTTTGGAGTTGTTTAAGAAACAATGGGATTACTTGGAACAGAGCAGTGGCGGACCGGGTGGCGAAGCGCCAGCCGAGGGTGCCGAAGGAACTGAATTGTCCAATGATGGTATTGGCGATGGTCGTGGTGAGCAACGTTCGCGATTGAAGGGTGGTAAAATGATGAATGGCGACGCAACTGATCCAGAAGATGGTCAGGAAGACGAGGATGAAGGCGATGATGAATATGCTGAACAGGATGTTATCGCTGAGGAGAACGCAGCAGATGCTGACGCCGATGATGATGATGAAGAGGAGCAACTGCAAGAACGCACTAGCAATAATTCAAATTCGAGTTCTCCACGAAAGCAGCAGAAGCAGAAAGCAGTCAAGGCAGCAGTAGAGCAAGTTATTACCAACAGTGTTGGTGGAGATAAGAAGAAAAAGAAGAAGAAAAATAAGAGTAAGTATAATTTAAAAACAAATATTTAGTCTGTTCGACTAGAGCTCCAGTGAAAAATATCCAGCAGAAGTTTGCAGGAGCATAACGAACGATTATCTCTCAAATTTGAAATTATTTCCAAAAACCTGCAAGTTGTTAGTACAGCTGATCGAAATTTTGTTCACATACAAAAGCATGAAATAGAAAACATGAAAAGAGTATAAATTAAAAGTTTCCCTAAAGCAATTTGCTCAGCAAAGTAACTAAATGAGTACCTACATATTTGCTTTCTTCCCAAACATTTGCAGTTCTAGTGAGTTATTTTAAACTTAAAAATCATCAAAATAAATTTCACTAATTTCATAATTTGCTGATGACTTTGATCAGCTGTTTTATTTGGTTCTAATTTTCTCAGCAGGAACTAGCAACTTCCCTTCCAAGTCAACTGTCACGTGGTGCTCTCAATTTCCCCTACTTTGAAAGTTTTTTGCGAACGCAAACACCAAAACCTTATAATTTGTGATAAATTGCAATAATTATTAGCTTGTTGAACAGACTAATTTTTGAGTATAATGTATATTGATTAATATTGTTCCATTTATCATTTACAGAAAATCCAGCACAACAACAACAACATCAAAAGGAGATAGATAAACATCAACAACAAAATGATAACAAATCGACATCCAGCAGTGACAGTCATACCATCAAAGACGAACTAAATGACTCAGGCTCCTCCTCACCGACCCTCAAAGGACAATCAGTAAATAAGAAAGTTTCAGCGACAAAAACTGCCGACACAAAGGCAAGTAAAACGCAAAATAACAATATTAAAAACAATAATAATTCGAATGCGTCTAATACGAGCATGACAACAACTGCAAAACAAAACTCCAATAATAATGAGAAAGTTGTCAATTGCACCGTGACAACAGCAACAGCAACAACCCAACAATCCAAATCAGAACCGACGATATACGCGACTTCACTAGCATCGCCGCCGGCCGTAAAGCCGATCCCGCGACAAGACCCCGCCCTGGAGACGTGCAAATTCGATGTGAAAATCGCCGATCTTGGCAACGCGTGCTGGGTTGACAAGCACTTCACCGAGGACATACAAACGCGTCAGTATCGTTCGCTGGAGGTTATACTTGGCGCTGGCTATGACACCTCAGCTGACATTTGGAGTACTGCATGCATGGCTTTTGAATTGGCCACCGGCGATTACCTGTTCGAGCCACATTCGGGCGAAAATTATTCACGTGACGAGGATCACATTGCACACATTATCGAACTACTGGGACCGATACCGCATAACATTATCCTACGTGGTGCGTACGCATCGCAAGCGTTCAATCGCAAGGGTGAATTGCGCAACATCACTGGCTTGAAGCCATGGGGATTGGTCGATGTGCTTTCGGAGAAGTACGAATGGCCGCGCGATGATGCGGAGGCGTTTGCTGATTTTCTCGTACCAATGCTGGAGTTCGATCGTGCGAAGCGTGCAACGGCTGCGGATTGCCTGAAGCATCCGTGGCTGAGATAAAATACGATGATTTGCTGTTGCACGTTTGCGCCAGCACCAACCATAACACCAACAATAGAGGCGGTATTGCCGCCGCCGTCAACGTCTGCGTCTGCGTCATTGTCACCGTCGCCATTGACGTTGCCGTTGCCAGTACAGCTAACACCAACATCCACGCAGATGTCACTCTCCCTATCTCCATCTCCATCGCCATCGCCGTCTTGCGCCTCACATGCTACGGCCTTAACCAACACCATTGGTGGCAGCGACATGGTGGCGGCAGCAGCAATGGCAGAACTGGATGTGGCACGGTGTACATCGTTGCGCAAACCGTTGGCAGCAAAAAAAACCACTTCGCTACCGTTGCCGTTGTTGTCGCATAAGTGCACTATGCGTTCGGTGTCCGGCGGCGCAGTAACGCCCTCATCTTCAGCCGCAGCATCGTCGGCGGGACAGGCGCTGTGTTGGCGCAACACGCTGCGACGTATGTTTCAGCGCAAGTGACGATGGCTAATACGCGCGCGGCGGCGCCGGCAACGTGAGCGCGCACTTTGGCATTGTCGTTGGCGTGGACGCGGCAAGCGGCGTCGTGTGGTGGTGTTGGCGTTGGCGCATGCGCGCTATTATTGAGAGTGGTTAGAATTGGATTGCATATTTATTAATAAAATAATAATAATTTAAAATAATACAAATATTATAAATGAGGCGTGAATTAGAAAAGGATGCACACAATAGCGGTAGCGCGGCAGCCAGAGCACCAACAACAGCAAGAGTTACAACAATAGCAGTGCAGCAATAATAAATTACATGCAAGGCGTTTGAGATAATTGTTTTTATAATGTTTATATTTGATTGAATGTTTTTTTTTATTACTGTGCAATTTTCTTCCGAATACAAATATTTTATTTATGCATATGAAACTGAAATCCTAAACCGAAGTGAACACATTCTTATTTTATTTTATTTAAGAAATTTTGCAACTTTTTTTTTCAAATTTTAAATAACTTTTGATTGAGGGAAGTTGGCTAAAAGAACAACGAAACTTACGACAGGGACTCGAAAGCGCGCTTTAAAATATGTACAATTTTTAGCTTTTCGGCAGTTCTGAATGCAAATCAAACATATGAGATTAAAAAATAATATTCAGCGTTAAGTCTAGTTAAATTGCATTGATTTAAAACACGGTGGGCAGGAAGCAAAGATAGGTTGCATAAAAATGTCGACAAAAACTGAAAGCAGGGTTGTATTTGTTGATATTTTTAGGTTAAGAATCCCTTTGAATTGAAATCCTAGCTGCTCCTGTT